AGCCCTTTGTTCCACCCTAGCAAGGAGAGGAATACTGTGTATGAAATACTTTTCTAAGACTACATGCAACTCTCCAGTATTTAAACACAAAATTTTAAAAATCTTTCAGACATTTCTATGGGCATATTTTGGCAGTCATAAAATAAATGGAAAAAAATCAGGATTAGTCCTAGTTTGTATGATATAAAATTTGTCTAATAGGAACCATGACCCAAAGTACTCAAATATTTCTCAAAGGGCTGACCATGGTCATCCATGCCTTTAATCCCAGGAAGGGATTTCTGTTGTATCCTGGTTAATCCAGTTAACATGGTAAGTTCCAGGCCACTTGGGGCAACAGGAAGACCCCATTTAAAAAAAAACAAACTAAAAAAAAAAAGAAAAAAACAAAAATACAGGGCTTGGTGGCACAAACCTTTAAAGCCAGTGCTCTGGAAGCAGGGGCAGGTGAATCTCTGTGAGATGGGGGGATTTCTGTTGTATCCTGGTTAATCCAGTTAACATGGTAAGTTCCAGGCCACTTGGGGCAACAGGAAGACCCCATTTAAAAAAAAACAAACTAAAAAAAAAAGAAAAAAACAAAAATACAGGGCTTGGTGGCACAAACCTTTAAAGCCAGTGCTCTGGAAGCAGGGGCAGGTGAATCTCTGTGAGATGGAGGCCAGTTTGTGATGCATAGTGAGATCAGGCTAGCTGGTGCTACTGGAGACCAGTGTAGCTGGGGCTACAGGAGGACCAGTGTCTATAAGACTCACACCTCCCAAAAAATATGAAATCCCTCCTGAGTTTCTGCACATTTACTCTGGTTCTGAGTGCCAGAGATCCTCAGTCCTGTTCCTCCTGGGGTTCAGGGACACAGATTTCTGACCATGTGAGTTTCTCCACCCTACCTCTGGTCCACTTAAAGCCCTCTCCACTCACCCCCTGAGTTGTCAAGCCCGCACCACATGCAGCTCCTCATCACTCCTCTCCATGTTGTCCCTGTGGCTCCAGTGAGTTTCCATGTTCCAGTGCAGACAGGGAGGGGTTAGATCCTCCCCTGTTTTGCAATAAAGAGCTCTACCGGATGTCTCCAGGTCTGATGAGTCAAAACAAGATTCTGCCTTCCCTGGAGCCGTTGGCTCCTCTCGCCCTGAAACTCCTCCCTCGTTCCAGGTCTGTCAGTCTTCTGACCATGCCTAAGTCACACCCCTCCTCTAAGGCCACTGACTTTCCACAGTCTGCCATCTTTGTTTCTTTGCCCCTTCCCTCCCCAGACCCACAGAAGTATTCCTAACCAACCAGACTCCACCCCTCAACCCTGCCTCAGGCTCCTCCCACATACATCCAGGAGTCTAGCTCTGGACTCACTCTACAGTGATTTCACAGGCTGCTATGCATTTGGAGTAGACCTAAGTCTGGTAGAACCCTGTGTTCTAGGGCCTGAGTTCCCAGACCAGAGGAAGTGGGTGTTGTGGAAACCTGACATTAAAGAAGATTGGAGGAGGTGCTGGAAATACCACATGCTGTATTCACTAGCACACAGGTGAGAACATGTGCCCCAGGCTCCAAGGACATCTTGTAGGAAATCACACAAAGGTAACTACTTCCCTAAACTGGTTTTGTTCCCAGTTACACCCTGTGCACCTTCACTATTTCTTACTGGTTCCCAGATATCCAGGAGCAGCCATCTTAACTAAGTCATCCTCTGCGACTAAACCACTCTCCTGCTGTCTAAAACTTCATCTGGCCCTCATGTCCTTGATTCCACTCCCTTCATCTCACACTTTCTGGGCACCAGGCTCTTTGCTGCAAGCAGCCCACAAGACACTCCTTGGACCCATAGTGCACAGTAATAATACAGGAAACACAGATAAGACCAATAAGCGGGCTGTACCTCCCAAGGTTAGGATGGCCCACATTAGGAATGGAAATGCTATCCCACCATTACTCTAGGTATGATTTCCAATAACTGTTGGATTGTCAGAATCTCATTCACTGCTTTTTTTGTTTGTTCATATGATAGATGTTATTTTTTTATTTTTATTTTATATGTCTATAGGATGTACACAACATTTGGAGTGTAACACAGCACAAGTTCCTCCTTGGTAAACTGTCAGCAAATCTAAGGCCATTGTAGTTGCAGCACAACTTCTTAGCTGTCTGTCTCACCATGAGAAAAGCCTTATGGGTCTGGCTGAATGCACACACAGTGTGCTCTGCATGGCAGTTATTGATAGTCTTCTATTTATAGAGCTTTCCAAGAAAAACACACAGCCAGTGGATGAAAACACTATGGAGTGCACGTCTATCAGGGACACTGGAAGTACACAACATTCCAGTTGTGTCGTGACTGGGGGACTGCAGAGAGAATCTCCCAAATTAGGTACCAGTATACCCAGGCATAAAGCCCAGACCAGCCACATGGCATATACAGCCTTACTGCCCACAAAGCCACATAAACCCTGGGAGAACCCAATGCACTGAGATATGCCCAGTGTAGGGAGATCCATTCCACCACTGCCTTGCGGTGGTATTTGTAGTG